GGGCAGGGGGAACAGTCAGCCGGAGCCACACCCGCTCGCCTAGTCTGCCCCCTTCTCGCGAGTGCGAACGAGCCAGCGGCGGGTTTCCACCCTCCCCCCCCGGCCTGCCTCCCGGCTGCTCTCGAAAAATCGCCGGACGAACAGGGCCGGCCCTGTGAGCCGGGCAGCTTCGCCTTTCCCGGCGGGCTGGGCAGTGTGTGGCTCGCCCAGGCAAGTCCGGCGGAGAGGTCCCCGCCAAGGGGACAGTGCCCGAACGAAAAAAAGCACAGGCCACAACAAGGAAAGACCATGTCCGTCGGGGGATTTGCGGCCGCTAGAGGGGGGCCCCTTGCAGGGGCGGAGGGTCCGCGCTCCCCCCCTCACATCTCCCTGCCCCTCTCCCCGGTGGCGCACCGGCCTCCCGGGTCTCCGGCCTCCCGGGCCTCCGGCCAGGGGGGGCGGACACGGGCCGCAAGTTTGCGCGTCCGTGCCCGTGCCACCCCCCCGCCTGTTGGGACTGGCGCGACATGTGCCCTTCGGGCGTTGGGTTATAAAACGCCCAAAGGTTCGATCCGTGGCGCCCGGGGCGGCCCAGCAGAGTCAGTTGCTCCGTCCCTCGCTCCACCCCTTCCCGCGCCCTTTCCCCTGTCTCCCCTCCCCCCCTCCACCTCTTCAACCGACACACATGGCTCGCCTTCGCCCCTTCGGCCGTGGCGCCCTCTCCAAGGTTGGCTTCATCTGCCTGTCGCTCTTTGTCCTGATCGCGGCCTCCTCGACCCGGACCACCAATGCCAAGGAGGTGCGTCGGTCCCACGCCCGGGCGCCGGATCGCCTGTCGCCCTCGCTCTTCGCCGACTGACCCGCCCCCCCCCCCCCTGCCCGTGCGCCTCGCGCGCCGTCGACACAGAATGCGACCGGCGTTGAGACCTTCGCCTTACAAACAAAAAAAAACCACAAGAAGAACAAGTAAGTACACTCGCTCTACACCAACAAGGAAATCTTCCTGCGCGAGCTCATCTCCAACGCCTCG